GTAGTAGTAGTAGTAGTAGTAGTAGTAGTAGTAGTAGTAGTAGTAGTAGTAGTGGTAGTAGTAGTAGTAGTAGGTAGTAGTAGTAGTAGTAGTAGTAGCAGTAGTAGTAGTAGGTAGTCGGTAGTCGGTAGTAGGTAGTAGGTAGTAGTAGGAGTAGCAGTAGTAGTAGTAGTAGTAGTGGTAGTTGTAGTTTGGTATCGTTTTTGATATCGGTCTAAACCTATAGTTGTTTCGGATCAAAGAAAGAGCAAGGAAAATGAGCAAGAAGAAAAGGGAACTGTACGAAAAAAAGACCTTGGACATGCGCTGTGTCGAGTGTCAACAGTGTCAACAGTCTAAATAGGCAAAGATAGATTCCAAGATGTGCACCGTCACAGCTATGGTCCTTTACTCTAAGCCCGACCTCAGATTCTGCTAATGGAACTTAAGAACCGCAGGGTGCCCAGCCGCCCAGCCCAAATTCTGGAAGGTGTCCTCGTGAGTGATCGGCTGGCCCATGAAGAAGTGCTGCTCCAAGACTGAGCGAAAAACGCAAAGTGCTGCTCAGATTTAATTTACCACTTCTTCCTGAGTTTAGTAAGTAGAGATTTCCAGAGTGCTTGCGTAGTGTTCCACCCATGAATTTCTGGCTGACACAGGGACGTGGGCAATATAAACGCATCTCATACAAAGAACAAAGTCCAATAGCAAAGGTTTGGGTTCAGCCAGTCATGGAATAAGCAGCTGACTGTGCTCGGACTGAGTACACTCCAGGAAACTTTGACCTAGGGAGCAACGCAGGACAACTGTATAACGTAAACCTCGTTCAACAACCCTCAATTTTTGGCCTCCTCTTCTTTTTCTTCCTCCCTCCTCCTCGTCTGCATTAATGATATTTCATGTCACGTCATGCTATGTTTGGGGGGTCGGGGGGTGACACGGGCGGGTGAGGGGGAAAGGCCGAGATGAAGTTCGGTGTAGAATTTCTCGGTTTTGCGCAAAGCAAACTCAGAAGCTACTAGGAACAAGTGCATCGCTTCTAGTAACAAGTGCCTTACTAGTAGTAACAATGTTTGCTAGTAGTAACAAGAATATTAGGGCAGAGGGCCGAGAGCGCCTTCTTGTTTTAATAGCTTCTTGTTACTACTAGTAAGGCACCTGTTACTACTAGCGATGCGCCTGTTACTACTAGCGGTTTTGCGCAAAGCAAACTCACACGGTTTTGTGTTCGAGACTTGTTCGAGGCCTGTTTAGCACGGCCAAGACAGGGTGTGGCGCATTCCACATGCCACGGGCTGCCACAGGGTTGAAGAAGTTGGCGCCTCTCGTTTCTCGTCGCTCCCGGGCGACTTTGGGCTTTCGACTTTTTTGCGTTTTTGGATTCCGGGACGTGAAAATGGGCGCGGATGACACGCGCAGGGGGCCTTGGGCCTTTTCCGTGGCAAGCAAAGTTTGCGAGAAAACATGACAGGTGCGTTCTCATGGTGAAGACAAAGTTGCGGTTTTGATTTTGCCAAATACAGGCGCGCTGTTGTTGCAAACATCTCGAAAGCCGAAACGGTATGGCTCTCAGTAAGTGTTCCCCTCCAAAGCAGCGCGAAATCGACCGCGCACACATTTCTCTCCACGAAATGAGGCTTCATGGCGATTTAGATTGAAGAAAGCCAATGGTGAAGAGCAAATACAAAGGATACCCTCAGCCTCAATAAAACAAACCTGACAGGGATTTGACCAAGCAAACTAAAAACATCATACAGTGTTATCTCCTTTTGGCATCCAAACGCAGGCGCTGTCGTTGCAGCTGGTGTCTCCACAAACTTGGCACCATAATTTGAATCCTCAGGAAACATCTTCCCACTCTACACAAGAGAACTGCCAGAATCATGCTGAGTTCTATATCTTTGTTTTTTCTAATTTTCTTGCTTTCTTTATTCACTCTATATATGTGGTTCCTTTCAGAATGTTGTTGCAGAATCAATTGAAACCTCTGGGTCCCTATCCCAGGCCGCTTGATGTCACTCAAAAATGGCAATCTTGCATTGCTATTGGCTTGCCTGAGGCTGGCGACAGGCAGCGTGATACTCAGGGTCCTCGCGATGCATTGCTACAAAACCACCACGCAAAGAGCAAAGCCTTCAAAAAAACCACAAGGGCCCTGAGAATGGCCTGCTGCTTTGGAATTGCTGCGCGTTCACTCGCTGCACGCTTCTTGAGACAAGAATCTTCAAACCTTGTTGATGAAGTCATGAAGGGGGAGAAGAAAAACATGCAGACTTCTGCACCATCCAGGGTAAGGGTACCGAATGCAACGCATGAGCGTCACCAATACTACCCAAGAGCAAAAGGCGTGAGGGCGCTGTGGCCGTGTAGCGCAGGAAGAACTTTCTGGGAGTTTTGTGCTACATAGTAACAAGAAGCTTCTGGTAACAAGTGCCACGCTAGTAGTAACAGGTGCCTTACTAGTAGTAACAAGAAGCTATTAATTGCATACCTACTCTGTCACACCGAGCGGTGAAAATATGTCTACGTGGCCGTGCCATGCGGTTTTGCGCCTCGGTTTGGTGGAAAGTGCGTTTGCGCACGTCCGTGCCATTGGGGGGGAAGCACGCTGCCCGAAAACGGGAAGTCTGTAGTCTCTAGGCGCGCTAGCTAGATCTTTGGGGCTACTAGTAAGCCAGAAGCGGCTTTCCGTACTACATGTGTGCGACAATGTTGCCACAGCTCCCAGAAGCTTCTTCCTGCGCTACACTTGCACTGCAGTTTCATTTGCTCCCGAAGGCTCCTGCGAAGGGTTCTCCAAAGAACAAATACCCCCTCTTCTAATTCATCTATGTCTACCTCGTCGGCGCCTGTTTCAACATCATCACCATTGTCATCATCATCTTTCACCAATCACCCTCCCCATCACCATGACCATCATCATAGCATTCTTCCGTTGCATGCATTCCATTCACTCTGCCCATTCATTCCATTCTTTTCCGTTCCAGCCCAGTCCAGCCCACTCCGTTCCTTCCATTGTTCATGAATTCATACGTTCCTTTCAGCTCTTTCCATTTCATTCTGTTCAGCTTTCAGCGCCGCAAGCAGTTGTCTGGTTGCGTGGTCTGAGTTGTGAGATTTACGTCGCATTGGTCACCTTAGTGGACGCAAAGATGCGGCCAACTATCTAAACTTCAAAAAGAACAACTGGATACCAATGAAATGGCGCTTTCGTTCCATTCGCTTTTCCATTTTGAGATGAAACCCGAAAAGCTGTGATCATTCGAGAGGGGGCTCACCCACCACCAACTACCCCCAAGCACCAACCACGCAAAACCGTGCCTTCATTCTAATCCGCACACTGGTCATAGCACCGTGAACTTTGGCCACGCCAAGTCGGTGAAAACTCAATTTCTTCGATCCTTGGTAAAACAGCAATTGCAGCCACACTATATCAATAAAGGAAATAAGGCAGTCATGGAGCCAGAAAATCAGTTGTTTTGCGGAATCCAACTCGGGTATGTTTCGAGCAAGTCGAACACCCATGCCCATCTAACAATGGAGCCCCTCAAAAAAACAAGGACCGACTTAAGGTTTCACATGACACAGCCAACCAGGTAGGGAGATACCGCAGCAACCACAGTCATCTGCAACGCGAATGCATTTGTTTTACCACTGTACTTCCTGCTTATTTGGACTTTGTAGCTGTTGACCTGCGTGCTTTGTAACAGCTTTGCAGCAAGTGACCTTGCCACTTGCATTTGCTCATCCATGCTCGTCCCATGAGGGGGACGACCATGAAGGTGAGCCAACCGAAACAAAAAAGGGTGGTGAGGTTTGCATTAGTCAGTCCAGTCCTGTCTTGTCCATTGTTTGAATCAATGCTCCAGCCCTCAAGCGACGGCCCCCCCCACAGATTGTGTAAGCAAGTCCAACCCCGGACTCTCGGCTTCGGTGGGTTCAGACTCGGATCTCCCCTACTGACGAGGAATGTTTACTGAAGTTCTCAGGCAAACACCACCTTTCCAAGAACGGCTTCAATGCCTTCCCAAGAGCTGATACGGCTGATAAGCCCGAGAACACGAAGTCTCGGGGTGTGTTCGCTGGATCGAATGTCTTTGGTCCCTCGGTTCTATGATCTGGTTCAACGAACACCGGCCTTGGTTGGTGGGCATTCGGTAGGATGGTGCCCAAGGCATCACACCCATGGTAGAAACCAAACTGCCTTTCTGGTTTTAGGCTCATGTGGTAGCATTGGTGACCCTATGGTGCACAAGTCTGCATGACTTTATTCTACTACCAATGAAATCCAATGAACCTGAAAGGACAAACAAACACTTAAAGCTCGAACCAACAAGCTAGTTCGGTTGTGAAAGAAATGTGCAATGTCGCCCTGGCTCCTCCAGAGCATCAGCCAACCCCACATTGTCCATGGCAGAGGGTCCAGCTGGATACAACTTCTTGCCTTAAGATGCCTTAAGAGGGAAACTCCTATAGCAAAATCGCAGTTTAGGCTAAAGCCACAAGAAGGTGCTTTTGCAAGGGAACTATAGCTTAATTAGTAGCGTTTTCGCACTCTGTAATCAGTCCCTCTCAGTTCCACAGGCTGTCTTGGCAACCCTTGTCGGCCACCGTTGCACAAAAATCATGCCAGCGTAAGAGTTTGAGGGTGGCTCTATACTTTGACAGCTCCAGCTGGGACATAGGTACACTGAGCCACTTCTACACCTTGTCTTCCTGATTCAGCAATATAAGCTGTGCGTGTGATGCTTTGTTTGAGTCTGAAAAATTAGCATTTCCACACTCTGTCTTTCTTTCTCTCCAACAGCTTGAAGGCAAACATGCACTGGACGCCATGAAAAAAGGAGATGCATGGCGCATGGAATATTGAAATCTGATAGGACTTAAGATTTACTTCGGTTCCAAAGGACTTCTCTTCCGTTCTTTTTCGACTTCGCTTTCCACCTGGCTTTCCGCTTTCAGCTCATTGGCTCACCCCTCCCTCGGCCCCTCGCCATCGCACCGTGAACTCGGACCCGTCGACCCGTCGACCCGTCTCGCACTCGACAGGTCCCTTCGACCGTCTCAGCATCTTGTCTCTCATCACCTGAGTCGAGTGATGGCCCAAAGGTCAACGGGCAGAAAGAACAAGAAACTTAATTAGATGAGTGCATCGCTTCTAGTAACAAGTGCTTTACTAGTAGTAACAAGAAGCTAGTAGGAACAAGTGCCACGCTAGTAACAGGTGCCTTACTAACAAGAAACTTAATTAAATGATGATACGAAAGGATTCCGAAAGGTCAGGTCTGGTTACCGAGTCCAAGACGTTTTCACCTTTCTCGCTTCCTCAGAAAGGCTGTCGTCTCTTTCAGGGTCCTGAACATCAAGGCGCACAATGCGGAACGATGTTGACGTGTTTGAGTTCACTTCCTCATCATTCACCTTTGGATAAAGAGATTTGAGCATAAATCTGGTCACCTTTGGATTCATATGCTTCTCCATGCACTGTCGAAACCTGAGATGTGCAGAACAGTGCAGAACAGTGCACGAGATGCCGAGGTTGAGGCGCTCACTTGTACGTGATGGTCTCACAATCCACCATGTCTCGAGTGTTGCCCTGTGCCGACTGGACTAATATCCCGCAGGTAAAGCGGTGCAAAGAATGGTGGGTCAAGCAAGAGCCGCATACAACTATGAACTGAAAGCCACCGAATGAAACAGCCAGGGTACCAAAAGAGTGAGGAGAACTACTGCACATCTACTGTGTCTATATACATATATAAAACCGTCAAGGTGATTACGCTCACTCAGCTCAGGCACTCACATAGTCTTTGCAGCATTTCATATAGGCTTCGAAGTCTTCTTGACAAGGCATGGGCTCCCTGGCAATGGAATTTGTCTAACTCAGCCTGGCAATCTTCGCCCCTGGCCTTCGAAGAATAATATAGTGTACAAGCAGTGTGAACTATCATGACATACAACCAAAAGCAACCTTCCTCAGGGAAGCAAGGCTTCAAATCAAAAAGAACCACGGAACATAGTGCAACAATCCGAGCAGCATGAAACGACATGCAAGAAACTGTCCTAGGATGCCTCGGCGCCAAGGCTGCCCCCATTGGTAGTCACTGCCAATTTCTCCGTGGCTACTGCCGCTTTCCAATTACGCCTTTCAAGTTGCGCACAAGGCTGTCATCTCTTCTGGAAGTGTTGGCTGTCGAAGCTTCACCACAGTCCGATAGTGAAAAGTAGGCATGCTACAGGATCACTGCTGCTTCCTCTCTGTTCGAAATAAGTCACATGTCGACGGCAATCTGCTGCACAGCCCAAATGCTGAACAACAAGCACATCAAAAGTGAGAAGCCGCCAGGCCGCTGTGACGGCACCTTCTTGGTGTAAGGGCCAAGTGAGGCAAAACATGCTTCGTTTCGCGTTTTGAATTGGTTTTCCTAGTGCTGTGAAGACACTTCTGTCCTTCCAACAAGACCAGTGGTGAACCCGCCAAACACACTACGTACACAAGCAAGCCAGGTTGGTCCCACTTACAGACAAACAGCAGAATCACCCTTGTTGCAATAAGCTGACCGATTTCTCATGGTGTTCTTCGCTCTCACGCAGCCAAACATCCCTTTTCCACATCCAAGCCGCCGTATGCTTCAGCTTTAGTTTCAGCTGAAGGAAAAGCACTGGAGTCTAGGACTTTGTGGCTGTGAAACACAGGCTTTGAAAATTATTTGTTCTTGTTCTATCCTTTTTCTAAATGTAAAGAGACATCAATTTTTCAATCGTTCACATCTATGCAAAAACTTTGGAAGCCCAGGCCGCTAGTATGTTGGAGGCCATCGAAATCTC